ATTCAAACTAGAAATGTATTGTGAAGTTGAGTTCAGATTTTCTATGGAGGTCAAACTCTGGTGTACCTTATATACTTTGAATTTATTTTTTTGCTACAATAATATGCCATACAATAAATAAACGTAGGAAAGTACTTACCATAATTACTATTCCTTTGCATAACTGTTCTGCACTGACAGATGATACATTTGAATTTAATCAACACTAACAAAGTTTCAATATCAATAATTATTCCTAGACCCATCTCAGAAGAACTATTAACAACATACATAATTGGAATTTAATGTGCGATCTTTACTTTTTATCTACCACACAAATGCATACAATGACCTACTCAACCTATCAACTGAGAAATAAACTCAGTGGGGATTCCCCTAACTTCGCCAGTCCTGCCTTTCATAAAGTACGACTATGGATACTTGTAACGAATTTTGAGCGCCTCCAAGCGGAGACGGACGACGACGTTTGGTATTGCATCTTAGCCTTAACAGATGCCAATAGATGTGACTGGGGTGGCTAATTAATAGGACAATTACTTTGAATAGTACGTGATGAGTCGCTTGATTTGCCGTACGCACGCCCGCCTACAGCGGACCTGAGTGGCTTTACATATGAATAATTTCCTAGACATTTAACAAGAATCTGGTGAAATATAATAATATTTGACACATGTCACATTTGGTCACATGTAGTTTCATTTCCAAATTTCTGGTGCATTCTGAGTTCAACAATGATAGAACTGTATAAAAAATATCGCTTGAATTATTTTTCAGACACAACTGCAAATAGTGATGGTTCAATGATCAATGGTTTTTCATCTTCCCTGTTGTCATTCCCTTGTTATTTGTCTTTTCTTAACTGTGGGTTATGTATACACAGCTATGACAAACGTTGGGGAATTCCTCTATTTTTGGGGTATTCGAGTTGAGAAATTTCTTGGAGAATCAAAAATATTGTATGATTTTGGAGAATTCAGGGTTCACTGTAACTAAATATCAAAGATCTATTTATTGATGCAATTCGAATTCATATTGTCAAATCATGGTGACTCGGAGTACATTCTTACATTTCCTCTTGTTTTCTGTCAGTAAAATTGATGTAACATGTTTATAGAGCATATACAAACCGTAAAAATACTTGGTCAAGTGTGCAGAGTATTCGTGTATAAAAATACTCGTTAATGACTTATAACTCCAGTTCAGTTTATCACAAGGGCTCTTCGAACGTTAGCTCAGTTTATTGGGTCGCGCTGTTCATTGATCTCAGCTGTCGAAACTCTTCGCAGAAGGCTTCGAACTGTGCTAGGGCCGGAGTGTTTGCGTGGCTTCCAGAAGGATTCCACCTGATCAGTGGCGGATTATCCACAACAAACGAGGAAGCTCTTGGAATGAACAAGAGGGTTTCTCACGATACACTAGTGACTTTTAGAAGCCATTAGCATTCATATTCGACCAAGGCAGTGATGCATGGTGATCAGCAGCACGTTTTGATTCAAGGTGTGATGAATGCGTCTCAATTTGAAGACAATTTGCCGCATCTCGGACGTGAAAGGCGTAGACGCGTGTTGTCTCGGTGTCTTGATCTTTGCTTCCTTCTCTTTCAGTATTTCGAACCCTAAGGCCGAAAAGCTGGTCTTCTGATTTGTAAAGCGATTGGTACATAGTCCCTTACATTTTTTATTGAGAAGATGGTATGCTCCGTATATACGTCACATCACATATCATGTATCTTCGCCACGTACACTTTTTGCACGGGCTCTCTACTTTTTTTAACAAAGCATCAGTCTGCCCTGCAGCTCATCCATCCACTTAAGGCTCAGTTGTCCCTGCAATTGACATCGGTTGAGGCTCTACCAACTTTTCGCGGTTACCTCTTGGTCTGATGGACTCTTTTGTGGTGGCTTTTCTCTTGCGTTATATTGCTAAGTCAAGTCTAGGATATATCAGGAGGATAACCTAATAGACCCACCCACTAATAGATGGTGATCGTCATTTTCGTACTTAACCTAAAAGGTTGTACAAGTCGGACCTTGTGTTCGAAGCCAGGAAAGATTTGGAAGGCTCGAGGGCATTAATCACCAATAACCACTCCGCATACCGTGAGAAGAGTAAATATTGGGTCCGAAAATTGTGTGCACTGGGAGATGCAAAGAGTCAAAAAATGGCAGCCCTCTACATTTGTTTGGCCAAGATTTTTGCCCCAGCCGGTGTTATCTACAAAATCGACAGTAGAGAAGGTATACTCCACCATGGACTGCAATAGTCAGTATAACCGTTTCAACAGAGTGGTCTGGGTAGATTCTGACAACATCTTGAGTACATCTTTATACTTCCTTTGTTTTTCCACTTCTTTTCGGATGATATTCATCTAGGAGCTGAAAATTTCATGAGAAATGTCGTTTCACTTTGATGGTCGAGAAAAATCACATCAGGCTAATTAGTTATGTATCAGCCTGAAGGGAATCATTTCGGCATTTTTTATTTCGTCACTTTTCTGTGGTCATTTATTTTTATCGAAAAGGTTGCATTAGTCGGGCTCTCTCCTTGAAGCTTCCATACTACGGAGGGTGCACCAGCATAGATAATCAGTAACCACTATTATCACCTTGTGAAAAGTGGCCATTGGTCTGGGAATCATGTGCCCTGAGTAGACTCAATGATAAGAATCTTCTACACTCATCTTACCAAGATTTCCGCATCAATGCGTCAAGCTAGTATGATCTTGAGTTTTGAGAGTACGGAGGACTGGCTTCATTTAACCAAAGACTTCAATACTCAAGACAACCAATTCAATAGAGTGGATGAGTAGGCTAGGTGTGTACACATTTGATTGCCATGTCGGCGAAAGTAAATGCATAAGGTTCTCTGGCGCCTCGTGTTAGCAGTAACCCCAGGTAACTCCGGCATCGAGATGATGCAGAATGCTTGGAGATATTTCAAATATATGAAATATCCCTGTTATATAACACTTGAATTCAAGTATAATACTTGGGTTGTGTTTTGTAGTACCGTAGTCAGTTCTTATATGAGTCAGTCTTAATTGGATAGTACCTTCGATTAGCGACCTCTTGATTTTTTTATTTTGTACACTCGTTTTGAACATATGTTCACATTTTCAGCTATTCAGCATGCTCAGTTTGTTGGTGAGAGGATGAAAGTTAGAAGTGTTTTGCGTGTTTGAAAATTTTCTACTATCGAGAAAAATGGATCAAAGAATTTGCATCAAATTATGTGTAAAAATGGAATTGAGTGCTCAAAAACAGTTGAAATGTTGACAGTGACATATGGTGATTGTACTCTGAGTCTGGAGAATGTTTACAACTGGTACAAGCTTTTTACAGAAGGTCGTGAAGATGTGAGTAACGACGCTTGCCCTGGACTCCCCAGCACATCAACTACCGATGAAAATGTTCATAAAGTGAAAAAAATTGTTATGGAGGACGTCGAATCACTGTTGGAGAAGTTGCTGAGGATGTCGGCATATCAGCTGGATCATGCCATGCAATTTTTTCGGATATCTTTGACATGAAGCGTGTGACAGCAAAGTTCGTTTGTTTGACCAAAAAACCGTCGCATGAACATCGCTGAGGAATTGTTGAATGACGTTAATGGTGATCCAGATTTGCTTAAAAGGGTCACAACTGGTGACGAATCATGAGAGTATGGTTATGACATCAAAACCAAAGTCCAATGAGAACCTAATTAGCACTTTATTCTCATATCCTTACTTATCGAGGAACGTACTGTAAGAACTCAGTCCATCAGTCATAGTGGTTTTCCATAATGCCCCATATGCATTATGGAATCTAGGTTTACTATTATTCATCTAGTGAACACCTAATTAGCACTTTAATTTATTGCCCTTATTCATTAATTAACGTACTATAAAAACTCAGTACATCAGTCATGGTGGTTTTCAGGTCCATGAGCCCCATATGCATTAAAGAATCTAGTTTTACTATGAATATCTAGTGAGCACTTAATTAGCACTTTATTTTGATTGTTTATGTATTAGTTCACGAGTATCTCAGGACTTTATTGCATATTGTTAATTTTTTTCTCAAATCAGGTATCTGGAATTTTTTTTTCTCTAATTCGCGGTCGTTTTCATCTTAATTTCATGCAAGCACCTAATTAGCACTTTATTACCAAGCTTAGTTTATACTTGATAGAGCATTCGTCCTCGTTTTCGAGAGACCTGATTCTTAGATCTGTTGTTTAGCGACATTGAAAGCTTTTGTTTATTAATTAGAAAATTTTACGATCCTCATCGTTTAGCACTTAATTAGCACCTAATATTGTTCCCTTAACATTCATTATTTCATTATTATTTTCATTGCGTTGCTAGCATCACATGCTGCTAGCAACGCAACTTTGAGTATTGAGTTGCAGTGTAAGTTACATAGCACCTAATTTTTGACTTCGGTACCTAAAAAGCACCTGAAAAGTACCCAATTTTGGCATTTTCTAAATGCGATTTCCGTACTTTGCGTTGCTGGCGTAACGGATATGTGTTCTTGCCACATGGTCGTACGGTCAATGAGGAGTATTGTCTTGAAGTTATGCGCCGCTTGCGAGAAGCAATACAACGAAAACGACCGGTATTGTGGAAAAACAATTCATGGCTTCTGCATCACGATAATGTACCTGCTCACTCGTCATCGCTTGTTCGTGATTTTTTGGCCAAAAACAACAGCGTAATCAAGTCTCAGCCACCGTGTCTTTCAGATTTGCCTGTTGATTTTTCCTGTTCCCAAGATCGAAGAGACCTATGGAAGGATGGCGTTTTGGAACGATCGAGGAGACAAAAACCGAATCGAGAGAGAGCTCAAGGACATACCAAAAAGTGCATATCAGAACTGCTTTGAAGATTGAAAAACATTGGCACATGAGGGGGACTACTTTGAAGGAGACAGAATAGGAGTTGATGATCAAATGAATATGAAAAATGTAAATTCATGTCATTGTTTTAACAGTACTCACAAAATGAAAACAATTGATTGATTAAAACAAAATTTTTCAGTATTTCATTTATAGTAATACATTTTCATATTTTCAATACCATGTAGTTTCATAGTCATAGTTATTTTCTTCATATTCTAAACTGGCACTGCTTGTCTTGTCTTTACTGGGTTGGTATTTTTTGAAAAAATCCTTTTTGTTTTTGCTTGTTGCTTGGCCCATGAATGGTTTCAATATTTGTCCTTTCACACTAAAACTAGTTGATACTTTATCTTCGTTGTTGACTGTAGGTTCGTCAGTTTTATTTTTAGATCGGTAATCGCTAAATATCTCATGGGGAGTACCTGTTTTCCCACTACTTCGCAGTGTTTCATTGAAGATTCTTTCGAACATAATTGGATTTATGGCTCCTAACAAAGGTCCTATATCTTCGTTGGGTTTACTTATTTTTGGCCATTTGTTGTTCACATGCATGAAACCTTGAAGTTGATTATTGGTTGGTTGATTTAAATATGGGTGTGTCAGTTCGGTTGGTATAAAACTGGCACCTACAGTTTCATCATCATTCTGATTGACTTTGGTTGTTGATGGCTTTTTAGCATTTGGTTTTGATTGAGCAGTCTTGAAATACCACTTTCTTGAAGGTTCTGTAAAATACGAGAATATTGAGAAAACACATTTTTTGAAATTTTGATACCGAAGAAAAAAGTTTGATTGATTTTTCATTAGGTATAGAACAATGTTCAGTAAAAATTCAGGTGACTGTAGTTTTATTAAAAGCAGAAGTGGTTCTCCATTATTGAACCTTCTTCATATGTTCGTGATGCAATGGTTTTCGATGTCTTCGAGGCCGACTTGCTTCTATAGGGATGCCAGTAATAGAGTTCTTACGGCTATTTGGGAGATGTCTAACATGTCCGTGCGTTTTTAATAATCTATAGATATCTGTACAACTTTGCCGTAGTTCCATTGTTTGACATATTCTTCTGGACATACTTTGAATCGTCAATGAATTGTTTGAATGCGATGCAGTGTCCAAAAAGTAGCCATATAATCATTTTGAGCCCATTCCTGTTTTATTGAGGCAGATCTTCAGTTCCCTCCTCGGACGGACCCTTTATAAATTTTTCCGTGGTAAATTCCTGGTTTTATTTTCCCAATACTCTTGGACCCACTTACCAATAGTAAGCTAAAAGTCCTTCCTTGCTCTTGTGAGCGTATTTTGCTTGCTATGATATGACATAAATTCATTTCTGTTAACATACTTCACCTGTACGCTCATTGAACTTGAGGCAGTGGTCTGGTAGTCACTGCTATTGTCCCTGATATGCCGGTCTAGTAGTTTTTAAAAAGTCCTGATATAAACGACTTGAGACTGATTGATGGCAAGGTCGAATGCTGTGTGATTTTCCTGATTTCGGAGTGAAGGTGGCCCTAGTCAGTCTCTATTTTTTTGATATGTATCCCAGACCCAAACTTCCTCTGAAGATAACACACAATTTTTTAAGTAGAAGTTACAATCCTTTTGGCAGCATTACAGATAAATGACACACGGTCTCGGTGACTTATATATGACTGGATTGAGTTCACGGCCTATTGGATTTCTCCAGTCAGCATGTATATTTCATCTCACTTATTCTATACTCGGCAGCAGCATTTCTCAATTTATGTGTGAAAAATGATTGCTTATAAATTCGTTATATTTTATTCTGAACTTTCACTGTCAAGTCTGATTGATTGATTATTTTAAACAATCTAAAAATGAGGAATCGTGAAATGAAACAAGTGATCAATTTACTTACTTTTAATATGATCTTCCTTTCTCCTTTCCTGTGGTGTCCCAATTCCTAAATTATTCTGTATCATGTTCTTATTCATAAAGCTTTGCAACTGATTCTTCATTTTAAGAATGAAATCTTCAAGATTCTTTGCACCAACTGAAAACTTTGCTATCTCCAAGTTATTTACCGTATCTCTCACGAAATCTGCGTCTTTTTCCACGTTATTGATGTTTTCAACCCTCACATTTCTGAAATATTGTGAAAACGGCTGTTGAATGGAAGGAATATTTTGTTGCTCATTTGAAAATGCATTCCGTGGTTCTAGTGTGATTTTTTTGAAGGTCAAGTTAGGATTTCGATTGGAAACACCAAGACCATCTAGTATACTACCCAATTTAATATATTTTGTTCCCCCTGAAATAACAAACAATTGAATGAAGAAGAGTTCATATACTCTAAAAATAACGGTGGATGTTATGATTTCTGCACAATAGTTCCGTGAAGACTCAGAGTTATTTGTGAGAAATTGAAACAAAAGTTAGAAATCAATAAATTCATAAAATTACTTTCATGTTCTTTGAATTTTTGGGAAAAGTTTCTCTCCGATTGACCAATATAAAGTTTTGGACAAGAATCATACCTTATGTAAAGGCTGCAAAAGTCAATCAAAGTAGAATTATCATTATATGGATAACAGTGATTAGGTAAAATTTAGTTGATATGAATGCGCCTATAGAAGCTATTGTATTGCAGTTTTGTAAACTGTTTAGTGAAAATCTCACAATAAAGTGTTAATTTCATTTGGAACTTTGCTTATCTAAGTGAATCAATCATTTTGAAGGGAGATTAGATTTTATCATCGTCGAAAATACGTTAGACTCAATTGAATATATTAATAATGAGCAAACGATTTCTATTAATTTATGTTCTACACTTGTCTGCGAATATTCTCGATTTCGTCTATGAACTCCTTCACCTGATCTGATCCATCGTTGATTTCACCTCTTCACATAATGTTTTCTTCAATAATGTATGATTACCAAACAATATTGACAAAGATTCGAAATTTCAATTTCTACATGATATTTCAGTTGATAATTATGATGCATCATGGTTATTCGCTATCGACAACCATTAACAACGAAGCGAGTTTGTGGAATATCCCGACAGAGTGTAATAAAAACCGCTGTCTGTATCTGCCAGTACGTCCTCGCACCGTTGTCATAAGAACCACTGTCTGTATCTGCAGGTACGTCCTTGTTCAGTTTGAACTGACTTTTAGGAGACCACAATGACAGAGGGTCGAGGGACTGCTTACGGACTCATCTCTCTGTGGAGGATGGCGCGACGTCTCGACAACAAATACGAGCCCATACCTACCATAGAGAGAGGTAATGAAAGTTGGGCAGCCAACATTCAGAAGACCAGAGTGTTCGGCGAATATGTCCATAATGTTCACCGAACAAAACCAGACAGCACCGAAGAGCATAAAAAACATCACCGAGACGGCGCGGAGGGTGCGCTCAGTACATCCCCCATGCCTAAATGTGAAGATCTTGCTAAAATCTTCACCGACTTTGAGCAGGTGAGATACACTATAAAACGCACGCCACCACACAAGGCACCTGTGGCAGCGATGGCATTGGAGCAGTTCTACACCGGAACCTGCCGCGCAAAGTTCTTGTCCAAATGGTACATATCATCAACGGGATAATGAGATTGCAACATTACCCAGACTGCCTGCAGCGTGCGAAGCTAATACCCATTCATGAATCGGAAAAACCGAAGTACCATAGAGAGAGCTACCGACCGATTTCGCTACTCAGCTTAGTCGCCAAGATTGCTGACAAAATCTCATTGACTTCTCTGTCTGGAGAAAAGGCTGAAACTTGTTCCGGAGGAACAGTTTGGATTCAGGCAGGGTCATAACATGGCCTCGCAACTGGTAAGACTGGTCCACGGAATACAGGAGGCCTTTTATGAGAAGAAGAGGAATTTATCGCGAAAATGTGGACGGCACACATGCCTTTATACATGATAAGAATCTTGGATTCTTATCTGGTCATTCAGAAATTTAGGGTAAAAATACATCAAGCTATTTCTACGGATTTTTCAATGAAAGCACGTGTTCCACGAGGGTCCTGTTTATCCCTACATCTATAGTATCTGTAAACATATGTTCGCAAAAATGAATGTAGGTATATATGCAGATGATACTGCCATATATGCCCATTCTTACTTTAGTGGTAAGATAAGGGTGAATCCGTCAAAGATTGAAGTTGTCAATTTCATGAAGAAATTTACCGACGTTAGAATCTTCAGGAAATTGACGATTCAAGGAAAGTGTGTGGAAGAACAGAAAAATGCGAAATATTTGGGAGTTATCCTGGACAAACGCTCGAATTTTCATGAGCACTTGAGTCTAGCAATTCAGAGAGCGGGAGCGGAGATTAAACGCAACTACCCTCTCATTGCACGAAATTCCAAACTGGGTGTTGACAACAAGCTCCTGATATATAAACAAATTATCACTTGTCCTGTGTTCTGCAGCCTTAAGAGGATTCCGTTGCGGAGACTCGAGACGATGCAGAATAAGGTGCTTCGTATCGTGACTGATAACGATTATACATTTCATTGGAGCGTTTACCAGACATAGCAAAGGTCGAGACGATTACGGATTTAATCCTTCGGCTTGTTTACAAACACTTCGAGTGGTTCTTTCCGAAAAGTTCGGTGACTAGTAATATCGCGGTAGAGTTTATCATAATCAACTTCGCCGTCACGGTGGGTTGATATATGAAGCCCTCGATATTTTCCACGAGTGATATGTAAATGACCGTTTGTGAGTTCATGAAAAAAAACTGGCATAGAAACTTCCTATAGAATATAAAAACCATATAATGGTGTGCATAAGCCTTGACGGCAGGAGGCACATTACCCAGTAATTTTTAATGAAATATATATTTCTGGGTAAGCATCAAGCCGCTAACATCGAGGGGGGCATTCCCCACCGCCCCCTCCCGGCGGAGACGCGAGGACGCGCCTGTCTGAAGGAGAAGTCACTTTGCTACTCTACCCTCAAGGTAGAGGTACTCATGAAATGTAGACATGTAAATAGTTTATTTTATTGAAAAGTGTTTTGCTTTTGCTTTTGCTCACGGTTTGAACGCTTCAATGCAGACATCTACTCACTGTACCGTCCAAGTGTGTAGTGCGGCATAGAATAGTGTTAGTATCGGCCAGGGACATGAGACTGAGGTTACCAGCACTCTAAAGCTAAAATTGCACACACTCATTCAAGGCAAGGCCATATGATGTGCGACATCGAGAGTGACATCGAAGTCATGTCGTCGTTGCGCATTTCAAGGTCGGGTCATAAACAGAGAGTTAAAATGGGTTTCACGGATATGATGTAACTCAAGGTCATATGTCGGCAGACGCAATTCAAGGTCAAGTCATGGGGGAAAATTCAAAAAAGGGGTTTCAAAGTCGAAGTGAGTGGGGAAAGTGAGGGAAGGTGGGTCCAGAACCGTCATTGGTATACTACCAGCAAAATTTCCAATCGGATACAGTGTAACGAAAATGTGTTACCAGAGTTACCACATAAATTATCATTGCATGGGTCCTAAGATTTTGATGTCCTTTCAGGTATAAATATGTTAGGAGAGTGCATTTGAAGATTTTTTTCTTAGATCAAGAAGAAACCAGAATCCATTATTATAAACTAAGTTTTGAAAAAGAAGAATTCGTTCACCGTGTTAGTTATCCAACTTGTTTGGAGAGGACATAAACATTATTGAAAAAAAATAATTGTCCTTTTTTTAAATAATTTATATAAAAAGATGGTTACCTATTGACTGTGCAACTTTGTTTTCATTGGATGTGTCAAATATCCTTGGTGTGATAATAATTGTCTGTTTTTTTGGTTCCCCAACAAAACCTGGAACTTCTTTCTGTATTATTTTTGGTAATGCGAATCTGGTACTGAAAATGGCACTTTTTGCATGATTAGCAAAATCTCCAACATGTCCTAAGGCTTGTTGTCCTGACGAAACACTTTCTCTGATTACAGTACCTACCTGAAAATGTAACGATATGAAACGCAAGGCAAGGCAAGGTGACCAGCTGAAACGTTTGTATATAAAGAATGTGTAAATTTAGCTTTTTGATTGGAATGAAAAAAATTTGGTGACGTGAGGTTGACGTGAGGTCTGAGGATTAAGGTGAGTGAAGCAAAACTTCGACGCTCAATTCGTTTAATTTCCGGACGATGATTTATGAAACGTGCTAACGGACGTGATCGTGGACCAGTATAATAGGACACCACTATTATGAATATTACTGGAGTTTTTTCCCAACACCAAATCGTTATTTTTACACCTCGACACTTGTTTCGATCACCAAGTGATCATCTTCAAGAGGAAGATAAAACTAGAAACGGGTGAAGAGTG